AAGCATACGGTTAATTTATTAATTAGTATAATAATGTTACTTGTTACTTCTATATTACTATTGGTAATTTATACTAATATCAACTAACTTCAGTTAATTATATAATCTATGCATAGCACTGCTAGAAATCTAGTTGAAATAGAAAAAGAATATGCTCTTCCCAAGAAAGGAAATATGTTTTTTTTTTTATTTCAAAAAAAAAAAAGAAAGGAAAAATGTTTTTGGGCATCTCCACAAAGGTGGGAGAGCAATAGACAAAACAAAGCTGCCTCCAGAAATAGATGGATGAAACCTAATTAAAATTAATACAGCAGTAGAAGTGTGGTAGGGCACATCTTTTTTTAGCACAGAAAATTATTATTTTATTCATTATAATCTCATGAAATGCATACTATCTCATTGAGAAGAAAGAAATGTAAAAAATAATAATATGGACAGGTCTCGACCATATACAAAATTATGTATCTATGGACACATTAGTATTGCTTCGAGATACAAAAAGTAGATTTTCTGGTCTATAAGTGCATTAGGACACATCAAATAATATAACTTAAAACATGCATAACATATATGACTTCATTTCATCCAACAACTCAAGGCAAGAGAACCAAAACATTTACCTTTTGTACGACGCAGCATTATAGCCCTCAGTACGGCTTGAAGCTTCTTGTAACCCTGGACAGAGTTTCTGGAAATCGGGACTTTTATTGTATTGTAAAATGATTTGTACACAGCATACGGGTCATATCTTAGAAATCTGAAATAGCTGTACAGATCATCAATTGCATTTTGTATAGGAGTTCCAGACAAACACCACCTTCTTTTGGCTCGAAGTGTGCAGCAAGCTCTAGCCACTTGAGTTCGATGGTTTTTTATTGTTTGAGCTTCATCTAATATAACCCTAGACCAACCTACCCTGGCCAGTGGACCACAATCGTAATCAAAAGAGGAATTCTCAATTCCTTTCCTACCCCTTTTACCTTTCTTAGTAGCATTGGATGTCTTTTTCCTCTTCTTATTAACTGAAATTTCAGCAGATAAACCATACTTTTCCCCGTTTCTTTCATCAGCTTCGTCCTCATCAACAAGAGGTTGCTTTGGAACTTCATTAGTTACAATCGAATAAGTCGTCAAAACCACATCATGTTTTGCCAATTCATCAGGATCCTTTGTCCTACTGCCTCCATGATAGACCAGAACAGAAAGTCTAGATTCGTCAGCAACTTTATCACACAACTCCCTGGCCCACTGACGAAGAACACTTGCCGGACACACAACCAACGTACCAGCTGCTGGCCTCCGCCTGCTAAATGCCTTTGAAGAAGTACTAACCTCTGGAACTGTTTTAACATCATCAGATTCTCCATCTTGCTTCTCTTTATCCAAAATCGTGCTGCCATTTTCATCGTCATCATCCAAATTCAGTGCTTCGGTTTTGCGATCACACTGTTCCTCCAACCTTGATTTTGACTCCAATGACTTCTGAACTAGTATAAGGGCGATCATCGAGACAGTTTTACCAAGGCCCTGTGAGATAAAAGGCTAATGAATCTAGAAAGACAAGTCAAATTAAATCCCAGGACACATCAAGCATGAAGATTCTTAAAGAATAACCTGATCATCTGCTAATATTCCACCCAAACAGTGAACACATTTTGTTTCCTTCTGCAGCATCCATGCCAATGCAATTTTCTGCAAAGTAAAATGATTTGAACAAAGCTGTTCAATTCACACAAATGAAACAATAGAAAATGACAGACAGTAGACCTGATGCCGTAATAGAGGAACAGACAAAAGACCATCAGGTGGAGTAACTTCAATCTTGGGTTGGTTGAGACCCTGCGAGAAATAGAATCCATCAAATAAACTTTTTAAGCACTTAAAACACCAACTAATTCATCCCAAACTTAACATGCAGCCAGTTGTAATCTGCTAGCACCAGAATTATAAAATAACAAAAGAAAAGGGGAGGAACTCCCTTCACTACATTGTAAGCTGACTTAGGTATAGGTTACATTCATGTCATTCATTTCTCTCCTCCTATAATTCTAAATTAGTAATCAAAATTTCTAAATGCAGCGGCATCCCCTTGATGCTTTGCATATCTTACTAGACAAAGATAGAGCTGAGAAATTTATATTTTAGATGCCATCTAAAAAATTTATGAAAAAAAAATCAT